GCGAACCTGCCTGCTGCCTCCCTGACCCGGCCTCTCCCATTTGCCCTTTTCCCCACCCGCCCAGCGCCAGCTCCTGCTCCCCCGCCTCCCCCCCCCACCCCCGCAGAGAAAGGCCTTCCCAGAGGCAACTCCTGGGTCACCCCTCACGTCCTTTGTCCTTTGGGGCTGCCTGAGGTGCCATCCCCACCGCGGCCCTCACTGCTGTCCTCGCCCCTCGGGAAAGGCTCCCTGGGCAGCCGCCCCCTCTCTCACCCCATCGTGTTGAAGTCGTCACTGGGGGGCACGTAGTCCTCGTCGTCGCTGGTCAGGCCCAGCTCGCTCCCGTAGCACTGGTGGACGAAGTGCCAGAGCTCCTTGGGGCACAGCGGCTGCAGGGACAACAGGGAGTCTGGTCCTGCCTCCTGGGACCCTCCCCACGGAGGCTCCGAGTGAGCTGGTCTCCGAGGGCTCCCCCTGGCTGGACCGAGAGAGCCAGGCCTCCATGACCACCTCAGCACCTCCCCGGCCCTCCTCGCCGGATCTCAACACCCCGCTCTTCTGCCCAAGACGATGTCTTTTATCACAGCCGGGACTGGGCCTGTTCATACAACTCTGGTCCACAGGGACCACGGCCCGTGGGGACGGTCACTGTCCGCTCTCGGCTCCTCTGGAGGAGGCCCATCGTTACACAATGAACTGGGGTCCCGTGGGCCAGGGTGACCACAGGGCTTCTGATCTGGACGTGGGATGCGCGGCAGAGACCCTCTGAGCCAGCCTCCCTGACGCTGCGGAAATCTCCTGCACTAACAGCGCCAGGCACACCCTGCGGGGCCACACCCCGAGAACCAGGCCGCCTCAGAGGTGGCCCTGCAGGGGGGCAGCTCCCGTGGCCAGAAAGAAGCCACTGGAGGCTTCTCGGAGTTTAAGGGGCCCCAAAGGTCGCTGCCCTCTCCTGGGCACCTCAATCCTCCCTTCTTTATTCTTCAGTAGAACCCGTTTGCCCTCAGCCCCAGGTACCAGTTCCAGTTTTTCTATTTCTCTGGGTATCTTCATTTCCTCCTCAAAAGCACGATCCTAAGAAAAGTTAGCGCTCATGAAGTTCAAAGATTTGGGAAAGAGGCAACCGATTTTCAAAGAACTGAGATCAGAGGTGGAGACCATGGATGCGCCTGGGGTTGGGAGGAGGGGGAGAAGGTGGTGGGCAAAAGTCTATGAAAAAGGAGGGCAAGATCGCTAAGAAAAACAGAAGCAGTCAACATCACTAAAAACTATTCAATTACTCAAACTAGCCAATCCCAAGTCTGCTTGGCCGGCCTACCCTGCCTCACCCATTCCTTCCCGGGAAAGCCTCACAGGCTCCGCCCACGCTTCCCGCTTCCCGCTTCCCCCTGTGGCCCCGCCTGGCGTGATGCGCCTCTGCTTCCAGAGCTGAACTTACAGCACGTTTCCCACCGACGATGTGAGAAAGAACCCGAGTGCTCCTCAAGGCAGAGTTTAAGAAGCTGGGGCTGTGAGGGTGCCTGAGCCAGGGGTCTAGAGACCTGCCCAGGACGACACAGGCAGGGCTCTCTCTAAGCCGCAGGGTAGAGGTGTGTGTGTGGGGGGGGGGGGGGGGACAGCTCTGTGCTGGCTCTCACAGCGCCACAGGGAGGCCTTCTCCTTTACCTGGGCCTCCTCCTCCTCTCTCTGGCCTTATGTCTACCATTAATCCTGCCTGGGCCACATCTACCTCTCTGCCCTTCTTAACAATTCGCCTCCTCCATGCAGCCTTCCCTGGCCAGCTCCACGGGGCTCAGCTTGTCTGCCACCTCACAGGCTCAGGTCCCGCCCAGGCTCCCCAGGCTCTGCCTCCGGACCCCCTGCGCTTTCCCAGCGGCTGCGTGGCCTGACGCGCTTCTGCCCCGGGGGCAGATGTGTAAGTATAAAACTCAGAGTCACTTCCACGTGTACGTGCCTTATCACACCCGACAGGAACAAATCCCGGAGGGCCCTGGCTAGGCAGCAGGCCCTGGGAGGCAGGCGACTTCCCGGACTCAGGTGACATCACCTGTGAGCACGTCTGGGGGACTTCCCGGACCACGAGGAAACCTGGGCCTCTGGGAGCGGCCAGCACCCCGGTAAAGAGCAGCCCCTCCACAGGGCCCACGCCGAGGGGGAGGACATGCTAGTGGGAGCGGGTCCTGGGCTCAGGGCGGAGCTGGGCAGTGCTCACCTTCTCGAGGAGCGCGTTCTGCCACAGCCGGAACATCATCATGTACGTCCTGTCCCGGGCCCCGAACGAAGTGAAGAAGTGCTGGATGCAAGGAAACGGCAGAAACGTGAGTGAAGGTTACCGCACCACAGGGACGAAGACGGGCTGCTCCTTCCTGTGCGAGAGCCACCGGTTCCGGCCTCAGCCACGGCTCTCAGGCCCGCGATCCCGGCCCCCACTGTCCCCAGGCCTTCGGGTCACCCGCTCCCCTCATCTCCCCTTCCTGTTCGAAGCTCTCATCTCCACGGAACACTTGCTTCCCTTACCGGCTGGACTGGGCGAGGGGAGCGGTGAACTAGCCTAAAGGGGAAGGGAAGACAATCCCCCCCGTTTCATTCCGTCACTCAACAGGGCGTTCAGGGTGAGCATGTGCCCGGCACCATCCCACACGCTTGGGGAACGACAGCAAACAACACGGGAGGAGACCCCTTCTCACACGGAGCGTACGCATCAGCGGGACCCTTATGACACGCAGGAAGCCAGACAAAACCAGATTTGTCTGAACACATTCTAGGTGCCTCACAGATGTTGCTTTATTTACACCATGCAAAGGCCTTGGGAAATAAACCTAAGTGCTAATCTGCATATATAAAAGGCTAAGCAACCGTCCGAACGGTAGCTATGACGCACAATGACCACCAGGGGCCAGACGCTCAACGCAGGAGCTGCCGAGCTGCGGTGACTTGGCAGCGGTGGTTCTCCGGTGACGCACCTGGAACCAGAGAGGAGGGAGCCCGATTCTGGGTGCGTCACCAGAGAACTGCCCTCTCGCACTCTGGGATCCCTCAGGGGATGATGGAGAGCCGGTTTCGGCCCGATCCCCGCAGGCCAAGCTGAGGGACCCGCTCACTCCACAGATGCCCTATGAGCTGCAGCGCCTCCCCAGGTGGGACTGGCCGGGGAGGGACTGCGGGAGGTTGGCTCCAGGGCGTGTCCGGCCTTTCTCACCCAGTCCTGCCCCGCCAGCCACCCTCTAATTAATTTCCTTTCCATGTGCCCGAATCTGTGCACTGGGGCACTAGTACCTAATAAAGAGAAACGGCTGTGAAGCTGGGTGACCTCTATACTCACAAGGCGGATTCGTGCCAGAAACAGAATTCACACCAACAGCTACCTGACCCTGACGTTCCTGTCACTGAGCTGCCCAGTGACGGGCAGGAACCGAGTCCACCCCCGCCCCCGAGGCGGTAGTCACGGTCCTAGTACTTCTCTGCCCTAAGTTTTATCTTCCACGTTTCCCGCACCCACAGGACAATTCCTTTCCATCAGACTCCTCGCGCCCTCCGGGAGCTCTGCTGATACACAATGACAACTGACATTTGCATTACGCGTTACAACTTAGTGTTTTCAAATGTGTGATGTCCTTTCAAGACTCTGTATCTAAAATGGTCCTGCCGGCTCCTTTTACACCCGAGAATGCCGAGGCTACAGGGCTACACATCTGCCTACGGTCGCAGGACTCGAACTCAGGCTTCCTGGCTCCAGGCCCAGTGTCCTGGCCCTCCTTCCTCAGCCTCCCAAACACCCTGCCCCCCTGGAGGCAGTTCTCCAACCGCATCCCTTCCTGCCTCACACCCCAACCCGCAGCCTCCCCATCTGCAGCTGAAGGGCAGAAACACAGAAGCTGGGGGCTGGGGCTTAGGGAGGGGAGTCAAGTCCAAGGTGAGACTCCGCTTACCTTTTCTGAGTCAGTGCAAACTTGGATGGCGTTGGGGATGAGGCGAGCTGTCTTCTCTTTAGTCATGGAGCAGATGTCTTTTAAACGGACAGTCAGCTGGCATTCCCACAGGGACAGACAACCGAGAACAAGCAGAGAGGCATTAAGACAGCGAAGGGCGTTCACCCGGCACCCGCTCAGACAGAAGAAATGGACCTGTCTACGTTTCTAAACCTCCTCAGGGGTCATCTGGGGTAGCCCCTGGGTTCAGAGGCCACAGGGCGAGGTGGGGGCCACGCCTTGCCCAGAGCCCCAGGGGCCTGGACTCTCGGTCCAGGGACCTTCGCTTCTCCTGCTCACAGGCTGACAAATGTGCTGGTGCCAGCACGGTGCCGCTCAGACACAGAGCATGGCACCGCGGAGACCGTACACGTCAGCTAGTTTATTTTTTTTAATTATTATTATTTTAAAATATATTTTTATTGATTTTTTACAGAGAGGAAGGGAGAGGGATAGAGAGTTAGAAACATCGATGAGAGAGAGACATCAATCAGCTGCCTCCTGCACACGCCCCACTGGGGATGTGCCCGCAACTAAGGTACATGCCCCTGACCGGAATCGAACCTGGGACCCTTCAGTCAGCAGGCCGATGCTCTATCCACTGAGCCAAACCGGCTAGGGCCAAGTCAGCTGGTTTATCTTTTCCCATCTTATCTTATTTTACAAGTGAGGAGAGAGAGGCGAAGGAAGAGTAAAGGACGCGCCTAAAACCACACGGCTAATAGTAGCGGAATCCAGAAAGTGCACAAGCCAGTTCCGGGGCCCAAGGCCAGAGCCCCTTTACCCCACTCGTCTGCCTTTGCAACGACTATTGCCAAATCCTCTCAACACCCTTTTCCACACCCAAGAGGGTAGGAGGGGAGAGATCTGGCCTTGAAGACTCGGGCCCGTGCTTTGTTAGCTGCACGCGGCTGGGCAGAGCATCAGCCCGCAGAGGGACGAGTGGGGGCCGCTCGCTGAGCCCCGCCCAGCCCAGCCCAGGGGACGCCCGCGGAGCAGGCCGGTCTTTACCAGAGTTTCCCAGCGGAAGATGTTGCTGTAGAAGCAGATCCAGTTTTCCGAGAGGTAGAGTCGGCCCTGAAGGAGAATGTCTCTTTGGAGTGCACAGGAGTAGTCTGTGGGGGGAGGGGGGCTCAGATTCCGGAAGCACTTCCCACGACCACCTGCCCTCCCGCACGGGGGCGGGCACCTGCCTACACTGACCAGGTCTGAACTAGTGCCAAGGAGTCCCTGGCGTCTCATCCTCGGGAAAAGGAGGCCGTGAGACACACCACTGCCTGCAGGCAGAGGAACGGCTGGCACGAGAGGCGGCAGAAAGGCCTATTCATCCCCGAATGCCCGGCTCCAACCCACAAGTACCCGCCCTTCTCCGCCGACCATCTGCGGGGTGAGGGTGGGAGCCACTCCTCCAGGTCGGCTCTCTGAGGCACCACCGCGGTGCTCAGCCCGGGGCCAGCGCTCTGGGCACCCCTCTCCCTGCTCCCAGACAGCCTTTCTCACCGGCCTTGGCTCTTACTTGGGAATCTCTAGACAGAAGCAGCCGTGTGAGGTCCCGGAGCTCCCAGACTTCCTTCCTGCCCCCCCGCCCCCCCCCAACCCAGTCACCCGCTCACCCACAATGAGGCGCTCCGAGTCTGGAAGCTGCTTAAAGAGCTTTCTGAAGTCTTCATTTCTCTGCTTGTAAGTGGGGCTTAACACCTGCACGACAACGGCCGAGGTCAGGGGGTGCTCCCAGCTCTGTGGGGTGGGGAGGAAGGGGCAGGAGGAGCACCTGCTGGCGTGTTCTAAAGGCACAGCGAGCTCTGCTGTCCCACGGGCCCAGGCGGCCAGGGCAGGCAGAGGGCGTGGCGCGGCGGGGACGTCGCGGGGAGAGAACGGTGCTGTGAGAGGCTCTGAGTCCCGTGTCCGTCAGTGAGAAAGTCAAATGCCCGGAGCAGGGCCCACGTTACAGCCAGAGGCACAGGCAGAGGGCGGCCGCCCGGGAGCTCCTCTGCCTCAGCAGCAGGAAGCAGCAGCCGGGGCGCCCGTCCCCCCGCAGGACTCAGTGCCACGTGCCCATCGCCCGCCTCAGAAGTTGCCGCGACTGATGGTGGGCGCTCGCTGTGCGTGACACTCATGATGGAAAAACATCCTGACACACGAGACCCGCACAGTGTCACAGGCCAGTGTTATCTCAGGGACTCGCACTTTTACAGACTATTGGCAAACTACCCACAGGGCGAGCAGCTAGACTAAGCCCACAGTAGAGACTTCAGAAGGAATCAGAAGCACTTAGATCAGTGGTTCTCAACCTGTGGGTCGCGACCCCTTTGGGGGTCGAACGACCCTTTCACAGGGGTCGCCTAAGACCATCGGAAAACACATATATAATTACATATTGTTTTTGTGATTAATCGCTATGCTTTAATTATGTTCAATTTGTAACA